GATTCCCTGTGCCGTGAGTTTTCTTTTTCTTTTTCATTGTTTCTTTTTTTATTCGACGCATTCCTCATTACCGTGTCTGTGATGTGTCTCGTTGATTGTCGGGGACACTCTCTGACACTGTTTTGAAGCTTGCTGTCGTTGTGCGCAATTGATTTTCTTAAGGTAACACCTCAGTCGTGGTATTGCTGAGTGGTAAGCTTGCCGCTTGGCTTCAAGTCCTTATTTTTGCTTCGCCCACTGTCGCTCTTTTTTTATCTGTTGCAACTTGTCTGTCACTAACACATTTTCATTTGCCTTATGGTGTTTTACACTCATTTGCGATCTCGTTCACAAGTTTGTTACTAACAACTAAACTATTAATATTTTGAGTGGTTAGCTTGATTTCCTCATATCCAGCCTTCATTTTGAGTATATTATTAGTCAACAATAAACAGTACAGACTGATTAATGCGTGTTGTGAGATAGGTATTAACCGCAGACACCAATTTTTTACTGCTTCATGCTGGAATTCTTTGCTGATTTATAAGCAGACATCGTTTTAAAGATCTCTGCGCTCACGTCAAGGCTTTTATTCCGCAAAATCGAAATGAATGGGGTTCGCAATTTCGTAAGTTGCTGGGTTTTCTAAACGCACAAAAGTACAAAAGTACCAATTGTTTACAGTCCACTATTGCACGGTCTCTTTTGCTGCCACAAACGAGTGAGCAACGTGCTCAGGTGGGGGTTGGTAGGTCTGAGGTGTGTTATGCTTTACTCATGTCCTTTCTTCTTTTGAGGACAAGAATCGTTTCAGGACCCGGAAGTAATACGACCTGTCCCTGAACGACGTGCTCCAAATGAAAGTTGCCTGTGCACTGCTTTGCGAACCGTTTCGCTTGACATGCTGGCGAGCGATGATTTGGGTAGCTATGGAGCACGCCGCACGTTCACCCCGGAATCGCGGGCGCTCATCGCGAACGTTAGGCAGTTTTTTGCGAAACTGAAAGAACATCTAGGGCCCACAGCTCGTGGAACCCTTTTCGATTCAGTGACTGCAATAACTGCCACGGCGTGCGGTGTCAGCGATACTACTGTCACGCGAGCTAGTAACTCACCGGTCCTCCATGCGAGTACGAGAGCAACTCCAAGGGGTCGCTCTCGGAAAGCAGCGGTTGTGACCGCTATGAATAGCTTCGGTGCAGTCTGGGGTGAACGTATCAGGCGACAGGTCCACGGAATGTTGAAGGAAGAAAGAGACGTGACAATATTGGAATTGCGGGAGGAGATGGCCTCAGCATATCCGGAGTTTTCGTTGTCAGCGATGACACTTTGGAGGCTGGTGAAGGGTCTCGGCTTTTCGTACAAGATCCTCAAAGGACAGCGGTATATCTTCGAACGTGCGGATCTTGTACACAAACGATCACTGTATTTGAGAAAGATCGACGAGGCTCGCAGAAGAGGGGACTGCGTAGTTTATATGGACGAGACGTGGGTTTTCGAGGGTATGGTGAAGAAGAGAGGATGGATGGACAACACGATGTCGCGCTTTCCCTCGGCCCAAGCAATACAACAGTATTCTTGTGGCAAAACAGCCGGGAAGAATAAAGGGAGGCGCGCCATCGTTATCGCGGCACTGAGTGAAGCTGGAGTCATACCCGGCTTGCACCCGCGTTCTCGTCTCTGGACAGCGAACTACGCAGGACGACTTACGCCGAGAAATGGATCACGCAGTGTTCGAGGAATGGCTGGAGTCGTCCATCCCCTTGATGAGGGAGTTTGCAGCTGGTCGGAATGTCACTCTAGTGCTCGATAATGCCCCTTACCATACAAGAGCTCTAGAGAGGGTAAGTTCTATAGAGGTTTGCAAAAGTGCAGTACGCGAAGTTGTGCTCATCAGATTCCGACCAGAAGCTCCACAAGACAGGATATTATGGACTACCTGGCCTCGCATGGCGTCGAAGTGGCTCTTGATAGTACAAGAGCTTCTCTTTAGAGGAGGTTCGTCAGTATCTCGGAACTACCCCCATAGGCTTTTTTGATACTCCAATATTTAGCTCGACCACTTCGTCGCCAGTCGAGGCGGTGTAGCGGTCTTGCGCCGTTACGCCGCTGAGACAATTTGCGAGAGTATGGGGGTGAGGCTACTCAGGCTCCCCCCATTTCATTGTTTTTTCAACCCTGTGGAGCTTTGCTGGAGCTACCTCAAGCACCGCCTCATAAGATGGGAAAACCATCGGATAGGCTGGAAACAGTAGGGTTTTTTGGAACACATTTAGTGTCTGTGGTCATGGAGTCTATTATTCTATAATTGTTTAGGTCAGGAACAGGGCTGTTGAAGTACTGGGAACAGTGCCGAGGCACTTCTGCGAGGGATGGTTTAGAGAAGCCTTGAGAGAGGAGGACTCAGCGCGTCTGAAGGAGGCATTAGATGCCAACAATAATGATGTTGGCGGTGAGGAGGCATCCTCCTCACCACAGGATTCATCTGACGATAGTTCATCAGATGAGCTTAGCGAATTTAGTATTGAATTATAAATATTACATCTAGTTCTCACTTTTGTATAGCACTAATCCTTTGTTCATAACACTTTGTTGATTGCTCACTAACTACGGGTTTATAACGTGTTATAATTCTTACGACGGGTACATATTATTACCACTGGTTGTTCTAGTTCACTTGCTAACAAATGCTGAAGTTGCTCACCCCTCACCATCACGGGTTCCGTTACTTATTACTTGCTGAATATCTTTCGTTGTAACACGCATTAATTAGATTATACTGTTTATTATTGACTAATAATATACTCAAAATGAAGGCTGGATATGAGGAAATCAAGCTAACCACTCAAAATGTTAATAGTTTAGTTGTTAGTAACAAACTTGTGAACGAGATCGCAAATGAGTGTAAAATACCACAAGCAAATGAAAATGTGTTAGTGACAGACAAGTTGCAACAGATATAAAAAGGAGCGACAGTGGGCGAAGCAAAAATAAGGACTTGAAGCCAAGCGGCAAGCTTACCACTCAGCAATACCACGACTGAGGTGTTACCTTAAGAAAATCAATGCGCACAACG